TATTTCCTTCCTATGGAAGTAAGAAAACTGGAATCCAGTGCTTTGGGTGTGCATTTGAGCTTTTATATATACAAACACAGCTGCCTAAACAATTCAGACTGAAAGGTGAGATATAAAAAAAAAGTGACAGTTTTCTTTCTTTTATTGCAGAAACACGATCTCATACAGACTGCCTCTTAATACCACCTCTATTTTAAGCAAATACTGTATATTATTTTGGATAAAAACACCTGTAATATATATTCAGCTCAATAGTGTGAAAAATTATTAAATTGCACCTTCTGCTATTAAAGCAAACTGTATTATGTGTTTATTTAATTATTTGTTGAAATCTTTCATTTGTAATCCATGGATTCTTGCTTCCAAATCCATGACCTACTCTTGAAAACGGGACAGATGAGGAAATGCACCAATTAAGTGAAACAAACTGGTATTTTTCCTAAAACATCAGGAAATTTAACCAAGATCACAGCTGTTCATTTGAAATTGTCCATAGAATAAAACATTAAGATAACTGGAACTAGATTATCTTACCCATATGCAGACTGAAGAGGATGGTAAAGGAAGAAAAAAATAATGGAAGAGGAAAAGCACTTGGAGATCGCAGACCTCGTCCAAGCAGCACATTTTACCATTGACTGTGACTTACACCTATAGCTAAAACTCATAAATGATCTGGATCATCATCAAAATTAAAGGATCTGTTTCTTGGCATTATGCACACCCCTGAAAAAAAAAAAAAACATAAAATTCATTCATAAGTTTTCAATTGATTATGATAACAAACCAACTGCTTTTCTCCTTTTTCTTGAGACTTTTTGAGTCCAATGCTGAGGCTGTCAATATTCACTTCTGCCACCCTCTGGTTTAGTGGGGAACCTCTTGTTCCGGCAAATATCCCTATGACACAATTTTAGTGAATCTTTTTTTTTTTAAATCCTGAATCCAGATTATATTCTAGATCATCATCAACATTTAATGGAATGTTCCTTGAAATAAGGGACACCTCTGATAAAAATTTCATTAAAATCCATCCTTAACTTTTCAATTTATCCAGTACACAGACAAAAAGAAAAAAAAACACACAAACATAACCACCTTGTATGTAATAAATAAAAGCATAACAAGCGTGCTCTAGATTCACAGCAAACTTCAATGTGTGAGATTATAAATTCTAAATATTTTAGACTTCTACAATAAATGTGAAGCTTTATAAATTCATCAAGACAAAATCATCAGTAGAGTAGTGCTTTTATTGAAGCAAATAGATTTAAAATGTACTTAAGTTTTTTTATGTCTGATGAGAAGCAGAAACACTCGCCCTTAAATTAAATTAAATGGAAGCAGCTGTGTCAGCAAAGAGGAACAAATCTTTATTCTAATGAATTCTTCGAACTTGTACTTGATTTTTATTGTTTACTTGCATGAAACTGAGGCTATTAGCTTCAGTTTTAATCCAAAGCTGATGAAACTGGTGAGGTTGCGTCTCCATGGCAATGTGAAAATCCAGAAATGACCAGTATTTTAAATCGTGCAGTTATGTCATTGGTCATCTCTGTTTACTTGATATATGTGTGTGTGGGTTGTACAGTGAGGATTTCAAATACCGGCTGATCTGCAAGCTCACTGCTGTGCACCTTCTGTGACTTCTTAGTGCCAAAAAAATAAGAGTGACCGATGCTGTTGTACATGCAGCCATAGTGAAAATAATGATTTAGCTTTAATATCAAAACATAGGTTGAAAAGATATATGCAGTTTAAAACAAATGTACTATTTTCCTGACCTTTATAAATGGTTTTCAGTGTCCTTTTATCAAATCGGATCAATGCAAAATAATGCTGCAGAGCAGGTTTCCCCTGGGATGAGGTGGCTGGTGATGGAAGAAGTTCATAGATTTTTTTTCAGGTCAGTAAAAAGGCTGTTAAAATTATGCAAACAATTCTTTGTTCGTAAAAGTTGTCAATTTTAAATTAAAGTAAAATATGCATATAGACTGAGTAAGACTCAGTCTATATGCATATTTTACTTTTTTAAGAAAAAAGATAATCTGACTGAATCGTTTGCTGTCAATTACACCACTTTAACTACAATAATCAATTGTGAGGTACATTTAGTGCTTCACAGGTTTCTGTTTTGTTTTTGGAATCTGTCAGGTTTATATAAAATATTAAAACCCCAAATAAGGTACAGAAGATCAAAGGGTTCTAGATCACAGATATGAACAAAAAGGAAAAGAAAATTGTTGTTTTTATGAAATATTCCAGAATTTTGAGTCTAAAATTCTTCTTGAAATAAATCTAAGAAGAAGTAAAAAGAAAAAAAAAAAAACATTAATAATTTTCAGCATGGTCAAACAACAGTTTGCTTCTTATAAGCATCACACAAATGTAATTCCTGGCATCATAAAAGGTCTAAAGATATAGATTTCATGTCTTGATAGTAAAATCTAATAATTGAGTTAAGCTTCTCATTAATTTTTCATCAAACAGTTAATTTAATTTAGTCATCCAATTAAAAAAAAGTAAAAACTCATTTTATGTAAATTTATTAAACAAAGTAATATACTCCAAACATGTATTTGTGACACCAACATCTGATAAGAGAAGAGTTAAGCCCCAAAAGGTCCAGCTAAAGGAACAGGCTATTCACACAGCACTGTGTTTGAACATATTATTAATAATAAAAAGCTAGGTCATTACAACCGATAAACAAGACACTAATGATGATATACAGCATAATTAGACAATTAAGATCTAAGGAAGCCTAATGGATTTCTATGATGTTCTTAAAAACTGATTATGGTGACTTTTTACAATTTCAATACTCTTTAAAACCTATAAATGAAAGGTTTCCATAGTGAGGCTCCTGCGGTGCTCAGTGACCTTTAAAACTACTGCTTCACTAACTCTTGATGAATCCAGAGGGAAATAATTTAAGCTCCTTGGATTATAAAGAACCAGTCATACAGGCATAAATGACCAATTCTTAATTTTTATTTATTGTTTTTTGTATATAATCGTAAACCCTTCTGGAAATAGTATTTATTAAATGTTGGTACGCTTGTCCTAAAAAAAGATATTAACTCATAAATAAATGAAATAAATAGCTTTAGTATTATAGAAGACATCAGCACCAGTAATGCAGATAAGCACTAGAATAGTGAAGTGGGATTCTTTAACACCTCAGCAGAGCTGCAGGCTGATCACAGCGACGCTGCACTGATGCAGAAATCCCTGCAAAATGAGCCTCATCTGAGCACTGAGGGCCTATAGACTACAGCTCAAGGTGACACATTTGCATTCAGATTTTCCTATTTAGCTCTTTCTTGTAGCTGTTTTTAGCCTGGTGTAATTTTCAAATTGTCAACAAAACCTGAAATAAGGATTTTTATCATTTGTATCGTAATCGTAAAATATAGAAAATAGAAATAAAAACTCAGATTTTATGTTTTTAATTGTTCTTTAAATGCAATTCATTGATTTTAACAACAACAACAACAAAATGCATTTTTCCCTGTATATTTTAATTTCTTGACCTGCATAATTAAATATTACATCAGATGCAGAGGTCACAGAGAGGTGAAGGTGTATTACAGAGAGATCCTGAAAAGGAAGTTGATACACAAGCAAAGGGTTAATATTCTGTGCAGCTAAAGAGCACGATGTCTCACTTTTGAATGTGATTTATTGAAAGCGGAGAGCGCCCGGTAAAGGTCAATTGCAATGCTGTTTGACTATACATCTTATTCTAATAATTTTACCTCATTTCAACCCCATTTGATAAGAGTAAAAAAGGAGAAGAATGGCTCAGAAAAAAATGGGATAATGGCAAACGTAAGAGAGAAATTAAATATTCCGACACATTGAGGAGACAGAGGAAAATCACCTCAGCTCAGCTTCAATTACCAAGCAAGTTTAAGAAAAAAAAAAAAACGGATTAGGTCATTAAATATCCTGTGATACCAGGAGTTAGAAGGGCACCAGCTGCTAATGTGAGGTAAGAAATTATTTCTGTTGGGATCATACTAGTCTAATTAAGGAGCCATGTCAAATTAAAAGTTTATGATCTCCATCAGTTTCCACTCTTTGCACTTTAAACTAAACAAAACGTCACATCATGATCCATGAGTGCTCCCTTATGCTCTTAACATCCGCTCACTTACTCCCTATAAATACATAGGGTGCTGTTGCCAAGGTAACAACTCTACGGAGAGTGGGCCACCTGAATTTCAGAGGATGCGGAAACGGAGGGTGAAGTGAGGTGTACTGGATGAGATCCAGTCTCACTTTAACCTCTGATTTTAGACCACTGCATAGACTGATCTGCAGAGTGGCTCAGAAAACATGATCCTAAGTGGCTGGATTTCTGATCTTAAACTGTCCAAACCATTGATAGGATTACTAAATATTAAATAGGATCATTAAATATGAAAAGTATCCTAACAAGGTTCTCATTTCCAGATAATATGTTGTGTATGATTGAAAAAACCCTTCTTTGTGTTATAGGTCTAGGCAGAATTACCTGTGCTAACATACCCATCACAGGGTAAATATTAGCCTGCCCTCTAGCTGCAATAGTGAGGAACTGCACAAGTTTTTAATTCAAATGGTACCAGAAGAAAACCTAAATTTTTTTTTATATATTTGTAAGAAGAACATCTTTCCCCATCTATTACTCTATAATATCAATAAGGAAACCATAACAAGGTGTACAATAGATTCTCTTTATTATAGTGCATTTATCCGGTGTTACAGGACAAGTTTGTTTTAAAAAAAGCATAAAAATGAGAGAAAGAAATATATGAACACGAGTCTTATGTACATAAATGATACTGCAAATTAAAGCTTCACATAAGACCAATAGGATGACAAAATACATCAAGTTCAAACACTTTCATTAGAGTTCATTATAATTTCAATTTCTTACCTTCTATTTTTCCAACTTGAACTAAAGAATTGTAAGATATCCTGTGACATAGGTACAAAGATTTTTTTTTTTATTCATTACAACTAAAAAAAACTCAAAACATCTAAATGTCCAGTTATAGAAAAACAAAAAACGGGAACCCAAAGCTCCCTTCTGAGGTCAGTGTAACAAAACTGTGCAGTCATCCTCACTCAGTGTGTACTGTTCAAGGTTGGTTTTATTTCCCATAGCTGAATACATGAGGGGCAAATACATGTGACTAATCTGGCTTCCTAACCTTCACATTCGACTATATGCTGGTGTAGAGCGATGGAGAGTGTTACTGCATGTGAGTTCACTGCCATGGCTGAGAGATAAACAGCTGTCATCACACAAGTCTGTATTGTGCAAGCTGGTGGGGTTGTAAAATATGGGGTGAACTATTTCTTGTAAATAAACAGAGGAAGTACTCTGCCCTGAAGCAAGAAGCGCTAAATATGTATTTGTAAGGCTGATTCATACACTTCCGATTCAACATGTACCATCAAACACATCAATAATGAAAAAAGGAACTTGCAAACAACTTGCAGACAAATCCAATTTGCAAACAATTTGGTCCAAAAAGATTTTACTCAAAAGGACAGAAACCAGCAGCTCCGACTAAGATTAAACAGGCCATACGTAATAATAATAATAATAATAGCATAGTTAAAAACAACAGACACTAGCCAATAGACTACCGTACTTACAAGAGCAAATTAAGCCTACTTCTAAATAAAAAGCCAGAGTGGGAGAAAGCTGACATAGCAGTTGGCTCTGTGGAGCTCAAAGCCGCACAGGCCTCAAGGATACAAACCATGCAATAGTTAACACTCCTCTATATATGTAAACATGCGCTGCAACATTTATTGCCGTTACCAGATCCAGGCACAGCGGACCTTTTGATCTTTCACATGAGACAACAAGTATGATCCAATTCAAAGACAAATGAGGTCCAAAGCTATATGTAATATTTCCTCCATTCAGACTTTCCCACATAAATTGGCATTAGATCCAGTTACATTCTGGTCACTAGAACCTGCAAAATATTGAGTTAAAATAAAACCAAAGCTGCTTTTTTAAGATTGATCTTTTAAATCTTCAAACTGTGCAGACCACATTTATCATCCAGGTTGTCTGATGACAAAACAGTGCACCTTAGTGAGGTACATAAACTAAGAGGCTCTAGTGTGCCAGATGTGTAATAAATGTATTTGTTACCGTTTTTTTTTTTCTTAGACATTCTTTTACGAGGACGGAGCACTAAGCATCGTGCGTTGCTTTTCGCTTTGCAAGTACCCGCAGCCTTTGGGTGTGCTGGCACTGGAGGAATGAAAGGTGATTGAGAGTCAACTGTGTTCAAGGCACAGCAGGACTGCTCCCACGTAGCTCGCACATACACATCCGTTCATTCCAAAATATTTATACAAACACACACATACAGTACACTGATGTTGGGGCACACTGGCCAAAGCTCCAAAACAAATATAAAAACGTCAGGAAACAGAAGAAAAATGAGAGTTAACAAGTACATGCCCAGTGCAGCCTCCCATAAACACTGCAGATAGAGCCGACGGATGGAGAACGTGGAGCAATTGATCACTTTGCGTTTCTTAGCTGGCTTGAAAGCCAGTCCAGACCCTCATAGAGCCCATCGCCACTGGTAGCGCATGTGGCCTGGATGTACCAGTTACGATGACGGAGGGAGTGAAGGCTCAGCTTGTCAGTGATCTCGGCTGCATTCATGGCGTTGGGCAGGTCCTAGAAAAAGGATGACATGTACAAAGATTCAGATTCTCACAGGAGTTCAGGGACAAATCTTCCATCACTGGATTAGATTCACTGCAACCTGAAATGAACAGCCAGAACTGGAAGCATGTGACTACCTGAAAGTCAAAGGGGATTTGACCAGGGTCTGCATAATTAGTTTTAATGTTTTCAGTAAAACCAATAAATACCAACCAATAAATACTCTGTAACAAAGAGTATCTTCATACAGATATGAACTGTGATCAAAACAAACTTCTGAAGACGTAAATACACCAGACGGGTTTACAGCATGTGACCATAAACGGCCCTGCTTATGTACATATTACCAATAGGGGTGTAAATCACATCCATCATGGCGATTCGATTCAGTATTTTTTTTTTATTACACACCTTACAGGCTAGATAATGTTTCAAATTTGAAATAAATCAATGAAAGCTGAATTATAGTTATGCATTTATTTTTAGAAACAACAGCAAATAACAGAAGTAGAGAAGTTGCACTCCACCTATTCCTATTAAAACCTCATTCACTGAAAAATAATAATACCCCCCCTGTATTATAGATTCTGAAAGGCCTTGCATCAAAAAATACTGCTCAAAATCACAGAAATAAGTGCAATGCAATACCTTGGCTCCAGACGTCCCCACCCCCCTCCACAGACGCTTCGCTGCCTGCATCGCATATTCTATTTTGTCACAACTACAAAGAACGTCTGATTGAATATAGAGAAATTAACAACTTTATGTTTACTACAGTATTTTGTGGAAAGAACATCAATTAGAATGTGCACCTTGGCTTCCCTTCTGCTGGATGATGAGGTATTGGAAGAGGAATTTTAACATCGGATATCGTTTTCCTGTTGTTTCCTTACCACCAAGAGGATATACATGCCTGAAAGTAGAACCTCAACCTAAATCAGGCAATGCGTAGCCTATGAACACGTGTAATACAGCTGTTGAACATGTGTTTTACACATCTAGCGTGAATAATATCGCTGTTTAAAACACAATGCAGAATGCACATGTAACTTCGCTGTAACACGCCTGGTCCATTTTCCCCTTAAGGACGATCATGTTAAAGACGTACCTGTTTATTAGCAAACACAAGCAGCACTGCATCCCTCAGCTCATCTTCAGCCAGCATTCGCATTAGCTCTTCCTTCGCTTCCCCCACTCGCTCCCTGTCATTGCTGTCCACTACAAAGATCAGACCTGAAAAAAAAAAAACAACAACAAAAGGACAGATAAATAAAGACCTCTGAACGTTAGAAAGATTTAGAGGATTAAGACATGATTGACAGATTGGAAACATTGTGTCACTTACCCTGTGTGTTCTGGAAATAATGCCTCCAAAGAGGTCTGATCTTGTCCTGACCACCAACATCCCAAACCGTAAAACTGATGTTCTTAAACTCTACAGTCTCCACATTAAATCCTTCAAAAACAAAAAATTATGTTCAAATCCAATGCCATGTGTAGGCATCAGGTTACAAAAACATAATAATAATGAAGCAGGAGATGACTCACCAATGGTAGGAATAGTGGTAACAATTTCTCCCAGTTTGAGCTTGTACAGTATGGTAGTTTTACCAGCAGCATCCAGTCCTACCATCAGAATCCGCATCTCTTTTTTCCCGAACAGTCCCTTAAAGAGGCTTGAAAAATTCCCCATCTTGGCTTACCTGCAAGGAAGCAGAAGAAATGGTGTTAAAGTCCCGAAAGGCTGGTGCTGAACAGAAAACAGAGGCTCCACTAAAACCTACAGCTTTTGTATTTTTAAGTGTTCAAACTTATTTACCACTTCCTGTAACCCAAATTCGTCTGTTTTACTTTTAAAGAAGTTTTGTTTCCCGTTTTTATTTTGCACGGCAATGAAAACGTATAACACATGGTCATTGCTTGACTTCCTTAAAGACCATTTTGAATACAGCAGCAAAAATATTTTAACTCTAAAAGCATTTCTTGAAAAAGCTACAAAGACACAGTTATAGGGTTTGGCCGTGCTGCAGGGGTAGAATGTGCGACCCATATATGGAGGCCTCAGTCCTCCACATGCCCCAGGTTTCAAATCCTGACCTTTTCTGCTTGTCTTCCATGTCTTTCCCAACCCCCCGCCCGTCTGTCTGTCTACTTTATTATAAAGATCACTAATCCCACAAAAAAGGAAAACATACATCTCTGAAAAAACCCTTAATAGATTTTCCCTTTAAACCTAGTGGAAATTTAACTTGGGCTTCATTTGTTTGAGATTAAAATAAAATGTGACATAACAGATCCATCAGTTATGACATCACTTACAAGCCGCTTCAGCACAGAGTACAAAGACATTTTACTGTTACCATCTTTTAAAGCTTCCTTAGGGATGCACAGATATAAAAAATGGGGCAGATGGCCAACATTAATATTGTGCTTGTGAACAATAGAAGATTTTTACCAAATATATATACATTACTAAGACAAAATTGCTGACAACGGTTCTCTGCTTCGCTAAGTTCTACGCTGCATCACTAGTGCTGTCAAATACCAAAGAGCCAGTCCTCAACTCAAGCTGCAAGGAGATGGAAGTAAATATTAATAGGGTTTTGTCAATATGTGCTTAAAATCTTAGCATGATATCAGGTGATTTTGTTGTGATTAGGGCTGCAGCTAATAATTATTTTGCAAATTGATTAATCTGTCAATAATTTTTTCAAAGAATCCATTTATAATTGTATAGCAAAATAATTTTTTTTTTCTAAATTTAACCAGGTGAAATTAACATTTTTCCACTTGATAAGTTCTGGATAACAGAAGAAAATGTTTTTTTTTTTTTCCATTTAAAAAGTTTTTTTTTTTTTGTTCTGAAATACAAAATGCTTACATTTCTTGTTTTACAATTTTTGTATAATTACTTCTCTAAGTTGGTTGCTCTGTCAGCTAAAGACATGTTTTAGAGTCTCTATACTCCATCCATTTTCTGTCATGCTTCTCCCACCCGCCAGCGGCCAAAATCATTTTTGCCTGCGAGTTTGATCTAGCCTCGATCAATGTCCCAGACCCTAGAACTGGCTGGCCAATCACAACGCAGAGATCTGTTTTGAATTTCTGGATGCAAAGCAGGCGGGGTTTTGCGTGACGCTGAAGAAAGTACAACAAGAAAGATGGCAACAACAAATTAACAGTTCTCATTTGACTCAGCTTTGGAATCAGTTTTGGAAGGATTATACTTGGGGTTTTCGTTTAAACGTGAGCAGGAAGAGGCTTTGAGTTCATTTATTTTAAGAAGGACATATTCGCCGTTTTACCGACAGGCTGTTTGTTTACACTTCCCCACCAGCTTTCTGTCGCACTTACTACGTCACATCAGTTGCGCCCATACTCATCAACAATCTTCCAATGTCTCATTCAATTGGAGCCAGACTAAATTACACATTTCATCTCCCATTTTGTCTGGTTTATCAGACTAGCTTCTAAGGATTAGCATTGAGTTCCTTTATAGAGTAACCCAAGCAACCATGTTATGGCTTAGAAAACATGCAAATTGAACCCATTACTTCTTCACAGGGTTGCTTAGCTAGATGTATGGCTGTGACTGTTTACCACAGCCATCACAGCCCCACAATCAAAAATAATACCCTTGAGTAGGGCTGGGTGATATGAAGACAATCTAATATCACAATATATAACGACTAAAGTCGCAATATACAACATATTTAAATTACCTTCAAAAACAATAGTTTGCAATGATATACTCCTTCAAACTAGCATGACAATATTTTGGTTTCAAATTTAAAACATTTTTTTTTTAACTAGCTCAAAGCTTTATAAAAATAATACAGCCACAGTATGTATTTTGATGTCCGTATTAGACCTTTAACAGGATACCAGGAACAAAACAGAAAACAAAGGAAAAACACGCAACAATAAATAAAATGCTAATTAAAAAATTGCTGTTTTGTGCATAATTTAAAAAATGCAGAAAGAAAAGAAATTGACCTCAAATTACAAAAACAAAAGTTGAAATACTGTCCAAAAATAAAAAGCAAAACGTAAAAATGTAATAAAAAAAAATATCATTGGTAATGCCAATCCATATTTGACAGCTAGACCAGCATACAAGTACAGTTTATCTATCAACATGGACTGGATAAAAGAATGGAATGTGGGTACATTCCATTGAAGTTAAGGGTCTTTAAGTTTATTGTTAGAAATTTCATATCTCCCAGGCCATCATTGAGGGTAAATTAATGACATTAAATGACCCAAAGAAGGTCCGGTCTGTTCTAGGATCATTTAATGTCCCTTTGGGTTCAATTAAGTATTGTTTGAATTGATTTGAACTGAATTCTCACATAATTAGCTTATCAACACTTAGAGCAAAAACCCAGATCATATCATCGCATATTTACTCATAAACAGTTTTGTTTCAGCTTTTTACTCAAGCTTTAAATAAGTGCTAATTTACATCAACAGCAGCAAGATCTCTTTTTTTTTTACATTTTTGTTCCCTTTCTGCAGCCAAATGTGTTGCCATGACTTGAAGGTTATGTACATGAATTTTGAGGACAACTAAGGCAAAACGTGTGTAAGCCTGTTTTGTGCACCTGCATGCTACACTGCCTGTACAGGTGAAGCAACAGCGAAAAAGGAGCACCACGTGATAAAAGGAAGCACATTCCTTAGAAATGTCAAGTGTTACATGTAGACAGCCTCGAGTGAGCAGTGAGCTTCCAGCTTCAGAGGAACGAGGAGACCATTAACAATAGCTTAAACTGTCTCGTTAGTTAAAATTTATGTTTAACAGAAAAATAAACTAATGGTTTTAAAACTGAAGCTAAGAACCCTTGTTAGTGGTGTGGCAATTTTTGTCAGGATGTTGGCTGTCAGCCTCAGCAATATACGTAAATCACTGAACTATGAGTTTCATTTGGCGGTCAAATGTAGATTACATACCAAAAGCGAGAGGACTAACGGTTGTCTATTGACAGTAGTCTGACACTGTTTTCAAACGAGTTGCTAATAATGAAAGCTCTATGAAGCAACAGGCAAACAAGATGAGGCCAGAGTCATCTTAACTTAAAAAACGCTATAATCAAAATGGGAGTGCCCTGAGGTTTGCTCAATTTTAGGTGACAATGAAATGAGTTAGCACTCAGGACAAAAATTAGAAAGCCTTGAAACAACACAGATAAAGTCACAGCAACACTCGAATTAACCAGGAGTAGGGCCTATACGATTAATCACATAACTGTAAAGCTCTCGCTTGCACATAATGGGATGTTAAAGGAATAGTACACCCAAAACATGATTAGCCTTCATTTTCTACTCACCCCCATGCTGAACAACACTCTGGAGTACTTTTCTGATATCTCAAATGCATCTGGAGATCTGGGAGGCTTCTTGCTGTCTGCTGACATTCAAATAATGGAGGTCTATGGTGCCCGAGACAGAAAGGTCCATAAAAGTCCACAAAAAACGTGTCAATATTCCTCCATACTGCTCGTCCAATGTATTCCAAGTGTCCTGAGTGGGTAGCATCCAGAATTTACTCGAAACGAAGTCATTTAGAATGTTTTTAGAGCATAAACAGTAGTGTATAGGATTTCCTGAAAGCGCGTACACGGCGCTACGGAAACCGCGACAGACCAACCCAGACGAAAGTGCGCATTCAGCTCAGCAAAGAACTCATGCTCTTCCTCAACACTGAAGTCCTCAGACATTTTTCTTTCGTTGTTTCTTTCTTTGCACAGGTAAACAGCACATTTCTTCTTCTACGCTTGCATTATTGGCAGAGCAGACGCTGAATGCGCACTTTCATCTGGTTTGGTCTGCCGGCTCCCGTAGCGTCGTGAACGCGCAGGTGCGCGCTTTCAGGAAATCCTATACACTACTGTTTATGCTCTAAAAACCTTCTAAATGACTTCGTTTCGAGTAAATTCTGGATGCTACCCACTCAGGACACTTGGAATACATTGGACGAGCAGTATGGAGGAATATTGACACGTTTTTTGTGGACTTTTATGGACCTTTCTGTCTCGGGCACCATAGACCTCCATTATTTGAATGTCAGCAGACAGCAAGAAGCCTCCCAGATCTCCAGATGCATTTGAGATATCAAAAAAGTACTCCAGGGTGTTGTTCAGCATGGGGGTGAGTAGAAAATGAAGGCTAATCATGTTTTGGGTGTACTATTCCTTTAAGCTAAAAGTTGTCAATATTACACTGAGATGAGGCTGAAAATTAATGTGTGCGACAGCCTTGGAAACTGTTTTTAAACAAGATTACCTCCCACTTTGGATATTTACATTAAAAAACTGCCTGACCTCGAGTCAGCATTTTGAAAACGTGATATTTTGTCAATTTTAGGTATGTGTGCTTGTCATGGTGTGCATATCTAGGTACAGTGTTTCCTCTATCATTATCCAAAGGGGGCATGCCTCCAGGCAGCGAGCCCACCCACCAGCCCCATGTGCCTAACGCGTGCCACCAACAGAATCGCAATGAGTCATGTGCGCTAAGGTGCAGGTGAACACATCCGCTCGTGCCAGCAGCCAGATAGGAGCCAGGAGGTTTAGGATTCCCAGACAGGCTGGTTCATCAAGCTGAACCGGACAGGTTCATGGTCAGAGGATTTATTTTCTACACCGTAAAACACAGAAAGGTTGAACCCCCCCCCATTTCCAATATCAAAGGGGAGATTGAAAATAGAAAAGATGAAAAAAAAACAGGTAGGCGAATGAACAAAAATGCTAAAAAGAAAAAAAAAATCTATGTTTGACATGGTTTCTCATCTTTCTTTCCTTCCTTTTATATGGTAAGATGTAGTGGGGCTGAGGTTAAGGTGCATTTTTGCTTTCAAGATAGGATTAAATTTTTGATTAACATCATTTACTGCTTTCCTGGTCAAGTTACCCATAGGGATATACAGGCTAGCATTCATACAGATCTTTTCTGTAGATAGAAAATTATTAGAGCTTCTTAAAAAAAATTATATATATATATATATATATATGATCCCTGATTCCTGTCTGCATTTCTGTGCTTTATTTTCAAAGCACCTTAGTTTTACTCGATCTAAAACACTTGAAAAAGACTTTACACTGATTAAACTGTAAGAGCAAAATCGCTTAAACCATAAACTCAAACGTAGGAGGACCTAGATTTCTAGCCTCATTATAATATCAGTAATTGAAAATTAACATCTAGCAATTTGCCTTCCCGTATTTATTAGCAAAGCCTCATCAGCTGACTAAAACTGCCACGGAACCCCAAGCTTAGCTTAACAGAACAATGCTGAGTTGTTTTACAGTTATTACACCGTTGTACTGTTGTAAGCCACTTGCAACTCTAGTTAAAACTCTAATTCAGCGGAAAATCGTTTTGAAGAAATATATTTTAATGGTTACGCTGCACAAAAACAAAGACAAATTAGGTTAATATGTTAGCTAACGCCTGTTAGCTTGCTAGCCTACAATAATTCACCTTAATAAGTAACTGGTACCTAATTAAAGACTAAGCGGTTAAAAAAAAACTACCAAAAGCTACAACACCGAAGAAAACTAGAAAAAAACGGTCTGTATTGAATTATTAAATGCACCAATGAAAACACACCAAACCATTTACTTCTGCTGAAGTTAAATAAACAGCTAACGAACTCAAAGCGCCCGCATACGCTATCTTAAAAACTGTTTAGCAAAAAAAAAAAAAAAAAGAAACGTTCAAAGTCACGTGTCTTTAATTTAAGATGATTAAATATCGTTCAGTTTTTTTAAGATTTTCTATATTTGAAGACGGTTTTACCTCGTAGACGTTTCTCGATCTTTCCTCTGTTACTGCTGAACGGGAAAATGGCGATTTCCGGTCCTCGTCACCCTCCCCCGCTTCTTCTTCTTCTTTGGTGATATTTAACAGGAAACGCAAATCTGATTTGTTATTGTAGCGCCACCAAGAGGCGTTTATCGGAAGTCATGCCGACTTCTTTCGTTTAGTGTTAGAATCATTACAGTTGTCATAGTACAGAGAAAAGTAGTTCTGTTATTAAGTTAATTTTAGCGCGTTTTATTGATTATTTTCTTACAATTTGTTTCAGCTTATTAAAAATATTTATTGTGGGAGATAATAGTACTCGCCTGTTTATAAAAGGCAAATAGGCTTCTGGTGTTCAGTTAATTTCTGAGCAGATTACCATCATGTCTCAAACAAATCTGTCTCAATGTCAGTAAAAATGTACCAAAGAAAACACTGTATAACATCAAAGCAACATTGCATTTATGGAGTATTCCCTAATAACTGCTTACTTATTATGTTTTTATCTATTATTGAGCTTCAGTAATGCAATATACTGTTAACCTGCAGCTATAGGTTGCAAGTCAGCTGAGTTGCTTGTTCCTTGGTTCAAATAAAACCCAGCCTTTCTGCATTGAGCTTGCATGGTCTGTTAATGCACTGATGACCTATATAGCGTGTATACTGTTACCCACTTACTTACTGTAAATTGTAGTTTTATATATTATATATAAGCAGTAGTCTAGTTGTAAAAAAGAAGGGGGGTGGTGGATTTGTTTTTCTTTTTTTTTGGAAGCACACACAGCCTAATCAATATAGTATATTAACCTAAAGCAATATGCATGGTATGGTTGTTACATGTCAGGTAACCCAGTCATTGACCTTGACCAAGGCACCTAACAGTAGAACAGCAGTCCGTCCCTGGGCTGGCATGGCTATCACTGCCACTACATAGTTAGGGACTAATACAGAGGACACATTTCCAACTGGGATCAGCATGGTAGGCCACTTCTTTGATTTTTATTTATTTTGCTCAGGCTACTCATAAGCCCACAGCCCGCCAAATGTTAAATGGGCAATATTATTGCCGTTACTGTTTAGAAATTTAACCCGTTCAGTAATAAAATGTCATGGGGGATGGTTATTTAAGAAAGGGGATGATTTTTCTGATTTTTTTTTAAGAAGGGGGATGCCATCCCCCCTGAACTCAAGTACTGTATATAAGGGACATCAAAGGTGGTCTCCATAAAAAGCCTCCATAAAAGTCTTGGAGTTAGATTCCAAAAGTAGGTGAAAATCCATTGTGATCAGACTAAACCCACATTTCTCCAAGTATTTCTCTTTATGTCTACTTAATAGGGTACTTATCTTTGTTGTCTTTTTCATATCTAAGATAAAGTGATCTTCCCCCAATGTGAAGCAAATGTTCAACCAGTAGATATTGGTTTAGTCATAGTAACTGTCACACCTTTCATGTCACCTTATAAAAAAGATATACCGGGTACCTCCATTTGAAAAAGCTATGTTTTTTAATTGTTGAAAACAATTTAATTTGCAGGATTGTACAATATCTAAGACATCACCATCCATCCATAGTCTCTTTTTAGAAGGTTTCCATAGTTTCCAAGTAAATCAAAATGATGATAGGTTTTCTTTATTTTGCCCACTAGATGAGGCTACATCCACAGCTGAAAAGTTGGAGTTTCCTTACGCACTCCTGTAATTACTCTTCATGGATCGTTTTAATCCTTGCAGTGTTTGGTGCACTTAATCATGATTTACGTTTTTTCTTATCTCAAGTTACAAAGTTGATCTTGATATAATTACATTCCAACAGTAATTCTATATTTCCCCCCTGTTTTGTAATAATAACATTAAATCTTTCAACATCATTTAAGAACAGCCTTGCATTTTTTAGATGCCAACATTTAGACCAAGACATAGAGTTTGCACAGATAAAATGTTTTAACTAAGAGAAATGAGAAAAAGAAGTATAAGAAATTGTTTTTATTCTTAAAAGTGTGTCTTGCATTAAAATGTGCGCATCTGTTTAGTGTTGCTGTGGGAGGAATATTGAGTAACAATGCTGTGGGACTCTATGGAGGGTGCGGCAGGATGATGCTTCCTCCTCCAGCCCTGCCTCCCAGCGGACCCACTGTGCCATGCGCATCGCTTTGACAGTCAGTGTTCTGCATGTTGGGCCCCTTAAAGAGAAGCGCCGAGCAGACGGCACAAACTTTCCCTATTGAAGAGTCACCGAAATGAGGAACAGCGCCAACCCGGCACAATGCGCTCCAGGCTCCCAGGGACCGCCTGCCTATTGCGAACAGTTGGACTCTGCATCCTTCTCTCGAACACTGCGGCTTACTTTGGGTCAGACGGTGAACTTTTTATTTAGAAATTTTGCATATGGTGAATTAGTGTCAATGCCGACTCACTGGACGGGATCATAGCTTTGTATTTGAACGTTTCAAGTAAATTACGCATGCGTAAATGATGACTGACGTCTAAATTATCTGAAGTTTATTAATGAATTTATTATTCAACTTAATTATGTTTTGTTGTGGAATTTTTGGCTTTTTAAAACAGAATAAAAAAATTATAAAATTGTAATTTACAAACATTTGGAGAATATCACCTAATAATCATATCAAATGTATATAGGGAGGTTATTTTATTAAGATTTTAATAAAACCACATTTAGCTAGACTTTTATATACTTTTCTTTCATTTTTTTTTCTTTTACTTCTACAGCCTAACAGGCCGGGAGCCATTGGTGCTTTTACCAGGTCCATTTTCCAATGACGCTCCAGCGGGGAAGGCCCATCTGAAACAGTGCGAGCAAATGAGTCTGACCCGGCGGCAGAAAAGGATGTGCCGCAGGGAGCCCGGTTTGGCCGAGACACTCCGGGAATCGGTGCGCCTGGGTCAGCTGGAGTGTCGCTATCAGTTCAGGAATGAGCGCTGGAACTGCACCTTGGATGGCCGGGGGAGCCTCCTGAAAAGAGGTAAGCGCACATTTTGGTGAATCCTGTTGGGTTTACTAACCCAAAAGATAAGTGTGCAAAGACTGTTGGAATCTGACCAATAAACAATTGTATTTTTACAATTTTTACAATTTCAAGCAGGTGAATTTAGGTAAATATTAATATAAAAAATAAGAGGGATCACTGTTATCATAAAAAAAAAAAGTTAGTCTGCAGAATTAGGTGTTCAAAAATACTATGAGCAATGTTTTTTAACCACCTGCTGCACCAATGCAAAAACATATAATCAAACTTGCATGTCTGGCAACTCTAATAAAATCTAAATTGATGGTTTTTATCAATGCATGTGCTCACAAGCCCCATGTGAAGTCTTTTTACAAGCATATAACATGAATTCTTGTGAAGTTTAGTGTGATCCATCTTAAAAGCAGCGTTAACACATTTGTTTCCTCTTTTATTGATTCTTAGTTAAAAGTAAGATTGCTTTTATTTGCAAAGTTTTTTTTCATATTGACAAGAAATTTGTACTTTTAGATACAGGTAACAAAAAAACTGCATTCTTCTCACAGACTCACAGAAAAATATATTAAATTTACTTTCTTGAAAGTCCGTTCTGCATGGTTTAATGGAACTATTAATGAGACAGACATTTAGCTTTATCGATTAAAGTGAAAAAAGGGTTGTAGATTTGCTGCACAAGCAAAATCCTGCATGGTCCAGGCTTTATGTATATGATTATCACTGTGTGGGAGAACATGAACAGGTCAGCACTGAGGTAATGAGGGAGTACAGCTCCAAGAAATGTGGCAAACGACGTAGAGAGTGCTTGAGCCCTGTGGTTATTTTTATCTCATTCCCAGAGGAAAAGGGTGGTGTGATTACCCACTTTCATCTGGGAAAATCCTTCCTAGTCAAAATAACAATTAATTGGATGAAAATATACGCTGGTGACGACTTTGAGGGAAGCAAAATAACAGTGCAGAGCCGCAAGAAGAGGTCAGAAGAGGAGATTTGACACATAAAAACTTGCAGGATTCCAGGGATAGTTACAAACCATGACAACGTAGGGACATTTTTGTAAACAAACTGGGTTAATGGCTTAATTACTGAAATGAAAATACAGTTTTTGGATTAGATAACTACCCCAGACATGAAATAACTCTGCCAATTTTTTTTATATACTACTGGCATAGAGTTATTTAACTTTTATGTACTTTTTTCCTTCATATCCAGCATTTAAGGAGACAGCCTTCCTGCTGGCGGTGTCCTCTGCTGCTTTGACCCATGCGCTCGCCAAGGCTTGCAGCTCAGGCCGGATGGAGAGGTGCACTTGTGATGACTCCCCTGGGATCCAGCACAGAGAAGCATGGCAGTGGGGGGTCTGCGGAGACAACCTGAAATACAGCACCAAGTTCCTTAAGAAGTTCCTTGGCCAAAAGAGGGTCAGCAAAGACCTGAGGGCGCAGGTTGATGCCCACAACATCAACGTCGGGATGCGGGTATGTGTTTAAATCAAAAGATTTCAAAAGATGATTCCTTTATTTAGTGTTTTTTACAAGCTGGGCAGAAATATCACTTGCCAATTAAACATGCAATTAAAAATTCAGTTTCCAAACTTCCAACCAGACAACACTCTTTTCGCCCTTTCCTCTATTTTCTCCTTGGATTTGCCTCCATGTTTTGGCCTGGGTGGGTGAGGCAGTGCAGTAAGGAGACAACATGGCTGTGGGATCATTGGAGCCAGGTGTTCTCAGGCATGATAAAGCATGCTGTGCGGGCCAACAGAAAATTAAAGGTCTCATGTCGGAGAGAGCGATTATCACCGTGGCCTCTTTTTAATATACGAGCAACTTTTTTTTTTTTTTCCTCTTTCGAGATCACTGTGCTCTTCATAAATCCAGCTAATGTTCATAACCACCGCTCTGAAGCTCTGAAAATAGAGAGCCTCAGGGTGCATCTCCTGTGGCTCGCAAAAAAAAAAAAAAAAAGATAGGCCTTTTGGGAGAGCAAAAAGCAAAACAGGAAGAACTCTATCTTATCTCATCTTGAGTGAGTTAAAAGTTTTACACCAATGAGGCTAAAAGAGACCAGCAGTCACGTTTACAAAAAAACACAAGTGGCTCTGCTTAGCTC